TGCCAACGGCTTCAGACGGATGAGTGCATTTGGTAAGGTGGTATTCTTATTCTATGAAGATGAAATACAACCAGAAAACTTCATGCTATGGCGGGTTGAAACCAGACCCATAGCACTGGCTGACAGCTCTACTAGGAGAGAAGCTCTGACCAACGGACAGACAGAACCCGGATCTTCTGATCCGGCAGCTTTTGCAGCGTGCTTTGTTCAAAACGAAGCTTTGCCTGGTTTTACCTTTCCTGTTGGGTAAACGGGGACAGGTCGAGTGAGTGATCATGAAGCACAGGCACAACATGGTTTCTGTAGCACTTCCCAGACTTTGCGCTATGGAGATAAGTAACATTTAGAGATCAGAAGGTGGGGTACTCATCCATTTTTCAGCTGACGGCAGGCTTTACAATACTTGTATCTGCTGAAGCATGCTGTGAATTTGGACTAACAGTCAGCGCACAGACATATAAACACACACACATACACAAAGAAGACAAAGATGATGGTGACAGGTGCTGCAGTCTACATTGATTGTGAAGAGACAGCTGGAGACAGCTGACCATTTCACCTGTCTGTGAGGGGGGCTGTGTGGTCTTGAGGCATGGTGTCCGCCTCTAGTGCGAGAGGTTCCGGTTTCAATCCCCGGTAAGGGCTGGGATTTTTTTCACGTGAATTTCGACTTCTAGTAATTCCCCTTGGTCTCTGGGTAGTGAGATCGGACGCCCGTGTGCATTGTTACGCACGTAAAAAATCCCTTGGCAGTTGGAAATCGAAAAGAGTAACCTAACGGCGCTGCCTATGCAAAATTTTGTGTTAAAAATATATCTAAAGTATTTCAGGATCCTCGCAGGTGGTACAGAGCCTATGCATTGTGCTGAGCTTCTTCGGACTCAGACTTGAGTTAGAAGAAGAACGGAGCACCTAGGGGTTACGACCCATTTGCCATGATGTTGGTCCGTTGTTTAAACTTTCAAACCTGTCTGGGATCCACAGTTAATAACAAACTATTACCGGAACAAGAAACCAATATCAGAAAAACTCTCGTCTGTCAGGCTTGCGTTCTCATGTGGTAGTCTGGTAGTCTTAGTTTCAGCTTCATAGAAAACAGGTCACCCCATCTTTGCTCCGCTCCTGTGCCAACGAAAAACACATAGAATGTTTATCACAGTCCCTTGTGGAAAGATTGACAGACTACTGTCTCAGCATATCTAGCATACACTCGCGTTAAAGCATACGGTAGCCATCCGAAGTGCTAACACAAACAGTCCGACATTAGAAATGCAGTTCATCATTGACGGTAGCAGAAGTCACCAACAGATCAGCAGTTGCCCACGATCAATTTGAATCACATACGGGCACCACCAATATTGCACGACAGGAATTGCGCCATTTTCTAAATCTACAATTCACACCACCACGTTGGTCACAGTCGAAAAAACATTTCAAATGAAATCCGCAGCTCACCGTGTCATGCCATGCATTCATCTCAGAATCTCGGTGACGAAACTATATCCAGTCTACAAATGGAGCAAAAATGCATCGGCTACCGTCCGGCAAAAGCAAAAAATTAACGGCGGTAAACTTAATTCTACTTATTGGCACCACAAGAAATGGCTAAAAAGCTTTCTTATGCGGCATTAAGTGGCAAGACACGATCACAAACACTGAGGTATTGGAAAGAGCAGGTATCACAACCGTTTTCTCAATGCCCAGTCTCCGAAGGCCAAGGTGGCTGTGTTACACATGTAGAATGAAGAAAGGTAGTGTCCCTTAGGACATGACTGATGGTGAATTACAGATGGTTAGAAGATGTCGAGGTCGGTCTCTACTATAAAAAAGGTGTGTGCAAGCGGGACATGAATGATACACGTATTGAGATAAAATCTTAGAGATAAAATGCCACCAGCCATGTTGCTTGGAATAGGGGGAAAGGGGGCAGGGAGAATAAATCGGAAAGGAGAAAGGAATAAAGGAATAAAATGACTGCATATAGGTTGAGAGCTTCCCCGTGTGTGTTCCAGGGCCCCATTGTTAGGAAAACGAGAATAGACCCACTGGCTACCCAGAAAAAGAACTAATTGGCAACTTGGTTAAAAGTCAAACTGCATCTGCGCGAGCGGCAAAGAACAATTCTTCCTCTTCTTCTTCACTTCCAGATATAAGGTTCTGTTTCTAGCTCTTCTGGCCGCCTCGACCATAGGCACATCGTGCTGTTGTAGAGTTTCTCTGATGTTATCCTTCCATTTGTTCTTGGTCTACCTCGTGCTCTACGTCCTTCTTCTCTTCCCATGTATGCTTTGTATGGTATGGTGTCACAAAAACAATTATTTTTTTTTTTGGGTACTGGGCCACAGAATCTGTTAGGCATGTATTGTAAATCGTTCATTATATACACAAGTGAATCCAGGACAAGGCTAAGCAATGGAACTTGCGTTGGAGGCAATTCGAGGCCAGAGGTCAGCACATTCTTTAGCAACAGGCCCCGTGATAGCTGATCCCTTCATCTCCCCTTTAGGGTTAACTATCACCCCGGCATTGTCCTCAAAGTAAAGGAACAGCCCGTCTTTTCTTCGTAATGGTTTCCTCTGACGTATGACCACTGCTGGCATTACTTTTTTGCGGAGTTCTGGTTTTCCTTTTTTGACGGTGGCCACAAACATGTCCCCAATGCCAGCTGCTGGCAGCCTGTTGAGGCGACCCTTGATGCCATGGACAGCAATAACAAACAAGTTCTTAGCTCATGTGTTGTCAGCACAGTTGATAACTGCCCCGACTAGGAGAGCCAGGGAGATGCGGAATTTACCTCCAGCGGAGTAAAACTGATTTGAATGCAAAGCTGAAGCCCAGACACAAAACAAACAGACAAACAACCAGGACTTTCCACCGGAGCATACACGTGGTGAACGAAGAAGAACGAACAAACTTTACTTTCAACGCAGTTCATATTATTCTTGAGGTTTGAGGTTTGAACAACGGATCAACATCATAGCACACGGGTAGTAACCCATAATTGTCCCGTTCTACTGCTAACTTAAGCCCGAGTCCAAAGTAGCTCTGCGCAGTTCACGGGCTTTCTAGCACTGGCGAGCATCCTGAAACATTTTGGGCAGATTTTTAACTCCTTTATTCTCGAAAAGCAAACCAAACCTACAGTATGTATTTAAAAAAAGTTAAAGGACCCTTTCTACGTCAGTGGCGCAATTTTTGCATACGATGACTGACTGACTGACTTTCTACCCCACCAAAAACATCATACAAGCGATAAACACCTGATGACACAATGTGCCACCGTGTGGATGAGGATCACTGTGGAGAGGTCCCAGAAACCGCGTTCAGTCATTAGACCATATTATGGCCGGGCTATATTGCGGCCCCTGGCAAGAGCTAGAGTAGGGCTTCAAATAACCATAAATTTCATCCTAAAAAAAAGGACGTGAAGTGATATTTTTCGAATACGATGCTTGACTCATATTTGTATAGACCAATCGGCACTCTACTAGTGATGACGTCGAAATCCCGTTGGCTGTTTCTACTTCCCATGGCATTACCGTTTGAATCGCCTTTCAATGCTGTGGGAAAAAATCCGACAACGTGGATTCAAGCCTAAGACCGTCAGTGGAATTTCTAGCCACTATGCTACTGTGGCTCTTTCGAGGAACTTATCTTATCTTCTTCTTTTATCGCGCCTACCGGCTGTAAACTCCGATGGAAAGTTCTAGCTGTTCGTCCACTTCTTTAGTTTTGTCTTGTTCCAGAGCTTGAGTTTTGCGTGCTGATCCGTTTTACATATTTGGCTTATTCGTAAGCATACTGTTGATTCCTCGCCTCTCAGACAGATGCACTCTGACTTCAAAGGAAACACCTCAGTTATTCGACATTTACGACTTGCTTGTCAGGGGCCAGTGGGTCAACCTGCCACGCCAAAAAAAAAAAAAAAATAAAGCCCCTGAAATTTCTATTTATAATTCACGTCGTGTGGAATTGGTCACTATGTATGTCCACAACCATTTGTCTCGAGCACTCTCAGCAGTTATTGATACAGTAAAGACGCGGGCACACTGTGGAGGACTAGGCATGGTATAATGTTTTTTTTCTTTTCTAAATTATGTTTGCTTCTGACCAAGCTTTACTAATGCAGTTTCTACATATAACGAAAGTCTAGGGTTTCGCTGCCTAAGCTTCTGAGTTCAGTGCTTAGCGCAGCCCTGTTGTGAGTTGTGTTTTTCCTGTAGAATGCCTTTTATTTAAGCAGCGGTCGAGTTGTGGTATTTCATCTAGCCGGTTTATATGTGGGTTAGCGAAAAACCTTTTGTAATAATGTTACGTTTGTAAAGCCAACTTATCGACCAACTATTTCCATCAACGACAATTGTATTTCTGGTGGCGATTGTCGGCTTTGGCGCATCTAGCAGCTGCCTTGTGCAGTTCACAGCCGTCTCCAGTTACTGGAGACCGTTATGTGCAGTTACTGGGTGTGAATATTTCTGGACTGTGCGTTGACAACTTGTTTATTCACCAGTGTTTTTTTTTTTTTTTCAAATGGGACAAAGATGGACATTAAATATGATTTTCACTGGCACATGAACGAAGCAAGTATGGGGTAATCCCGATTGCAGTGAAGTTGAAATTTCGAATAACACTAAGACAGTATGTGTGTTTCACCATGCCACGAGGACAAACAGAATAACAATTTTCTTCGCCTCTTCCTGTCTTTCTTCAGCTCCACCTTTCCTCCTGTCACAGTTTTCTTCAGCGCCGTCCGTGGCTCTGCGAGTCCGACTCGTAATTCCAACGTACCACGATCGAAACCCACTGCTGGCTGCATGGATTTTTATCATGGTATGGGATGTCGCAGGTCGACTGGGCCTAAAGTGGGTACCAGGATGTATGTCCTGTGGAAGTAGAGACGGCTGGCGTAATGCTGACCACATTACCCACCTAGTGCCGATTGGTCTGTAAAAAATATGGGTGCTCTTTACATACGTACGATGCGTCTATAGGCGTGAAAAGGGATCTTTACTTTACTTCAGTTTTCTTTATTTGCCCCCTTCTTGCGGCATGCTAAAAGAAAACTGAGTGTTCCTTCTAATGCGTGTAATCAGTTCTTCTGTGAATTAAATTCGCTCAAGACATCTTAACTAGGATATTCACTGTTTATGATGTTTCAAGAATCTCTACAGATTCGACATAATGTCTTAGTAATTTGTCGACTGTCTATGACTCACTTCTATGCCTCAGAACTGATCAGCTCAGTTACATCAAGCGCTATTCTTTTTCTTAGCGTTCGCCAGTGAAAAGATCTGACTGTTCGTCCACTTCTGGACTTTGATCTTGATCTAGAACTTGAGTTTTGCGTGCAAATCTGTTTTACAGATCAGGCTTTTTTTGTACGCAGACTGTTAGTGCCTTGCCTCTCAACCAGATGCCTTCCGACTTTAAAGGAAACACCCTAATTAGTTACATGCTACGACATGCTTGTTAGAGGGGCAGTGGGTCTATTCTTTTCCTACAAAACTGAACCCGGAACCCACACGGGGAGTTCTCACTATTCTGGGTCTTTAATGTGACCATTAATTTCAACTGGTCAAGTTCACTCTTGAACCGCTACCTAGCCTCTCCTAGATAGCATCAGCTCTGAAGTCTTGAGTTTTCGGGCAAAATGGACGCTACGCAGAGGCACTGTTTGGAACCGAGGCAAATTTTTTGCTTCTGCCGGACGGTGGCCGATGCATTTTTGCTCCATTTGTAGACTGGATATAGTTTCGTCGCCCAGCTTCTGAGTTGAGTGCATGGCATGACACTATGAGCTGCGGATTTCATTTAGAATGTTTTTTCGACTGTGACCAACGTGGTGGTGTGAATTGTAGATTCAGAAAATGGCACGATGCTTATCGTCGCAATGTTGGTGGTGCCCGTATGTGATTAAAACTGATCGCGTGGGCAACTGCTGATCTGTTGGTGACTTCTGCTAACATCAATGATGAACTGTATTTTTAATGTCGGACTGTTCGTGTTAGCACTTCGGATGACAACCGTATGCTTTAATGCGTGTGTATGTTAGATATGATGAGACAGCAGTCTTGTCAATCTTTCCACAAGGGACTGTGATAAACATTATGTGTGTTTTTCATTGGCATAGGAGCGGAGCGAAGATGGGGTGACCCGTTTGCTATGAAGCTGAAACTAAGACTACCAGACCAGACAGACTCCGTAGCTTGCCCCACTACAGTCACCCTCCAGCCACCGCATAAGGATTTAGGACTGCAGGTTAGGAATTTATTTTTTTGTGACAGGGAACAATTTAGTATATCTCCCATCTGCAACACCCCGTACTTTGCCCCAATACAATAACACGAACATGCGCTCCATACCCAACGCGCAGCCTGCCTATCACGTGATCTAAGATGCAGGCGGACGTGGAGAATCCACCATTACCGTTAGAGAACAGTTTCCGGTGATTCAAATAAATATCTTTTTCTCACTAAAAACCCTATAAATTGGACTATTTATCAGGTAAGGAACCTGCATACGTGATATATTATATATCTGAAATGTAACAAAGCGACGATAATTAACCAAATTAAGATTAACCACACAATTTTGTCACGAACAACTGACAGGTCTTCCCCAGCGCACAAACAGGATGTTGAACGTGGGGATGTAGGGCCGGAAGTATCCTTCATAAACATCCGTTTTGTTTTGGCTATTTCCTCTTCCTTTGATCCCCAGTAATTGATAATTCTCCACATTTCTGCTGCCACCCCACTGTCTCTCTCTTCACGGGGTCGAATAAGGCGCTGGGGATGGGGAGTTTGCAATTGCTAGTCTCCGCCATGTTTGTTGAGGCGTTGCCCCATTTCATCCCTAGCCCAATATGTCGGTTTAGGGAACCAGCAGATCAATTCAAAACTAGTCCTAATCGCGACAAGCCAGCTGTTGTTGATATTGTTATTGATGATAGTTATAGTAAGTGTTAGTTACTGTGTCACTAATTGAAATTACCAACTCATGCCGTCTAAACTGGACACTGCTACACTTATTATTCTACAGTGCTCTTCACAGCCCATCAGTTTAATAATTATTAATATTATTAATCCCAGCCTGCAGCTGTTGTTGTAGTTAGCAAAGATGTAATCAATTATTAAACGCTGTTGAAAATTTGGAATCACGGGAGTCTTTTAACAAAATCTAAATAATAATATTGATCCTAGCCACAAGCAGATGTTGAGTTTAGTCAAATGATGACATCTCACAGCACTCAGGGCATTCCAGTGTGTGCTCCATCCTCATCTTCAACAGCCAGCGCAGAGTTCCAATACTGATGGTGCCGGTCACAATCTGGTTATATGTCTGTCTTGCCTTTCTTCTGAGTATTAAGCCGGCCAGACCGCCTGGTTACACCCAGGTGCCTCATTCTTTCCAGGCCATAATAATCTTGCTTCTCTACTGATTCCATTTCTTGTTCCCAAAAGGGCCTTGACCACATCTGCCTTGTCATGTATCAATTCACCACCCAGTGGTACAGATCCAGCCAATATGTCTTCCTGCATAGCCTAGAGAAAAGATCTAAAGTATGCTCCACAAGCAGATGTATAGATAGTAAATGTTAGCAACCAGTCTTGACCATTGTTATAATGCATTCTTTTTTAGTAAGACCTTGCAGTGCTTTTCATAAGGAACAAACATTTAGAAAGTGTAATTAAGACATATATATATATAAAATGCAGAGTTTTTGAGTCATTGGGAACCAACTGAGAGCTGATAAGAGATGTAGATTATTTCAGCCTCAGTAAAAGACAAATCACACTCTTAAATATCATACTGGAAGGGAAAGTTGAAAGTAGACAAGCAAAAGGTAGGTAATGATACAAATGGGAATATGGATAAACAGTTTGTCAGAATGTACAACCTGTGTACAACAGTTCTTTGCAGTCAACCTTTATTATGGAGGTGAAACCACCTGATTGATTTGCAGAGATTGTAGGAGAGCTATTAGTTTAAAAGTACTAATGTAGTAATCAGTAGTTATTACATGTTAGCATTGCCACCTACTAGAACTACTAATGACAGAATCTGGAACTTTTGACTAGAACTCAGACACTGTACTATATTTTCTACTTAGCATTCACTGGCTGTGAACTTTAGCGAAAAGTTCTGGTTGTTCATCCACTTCTCGACTTTGATCTGATTTCAGAACTCGTGTTTTACCTGCACATTCATTTTACTGATCTGTCTTATTTGTTTGCGGAATGTTGGTGCCTAATCTCTCAGGCAAAATTCACTCTAACCTCGAAGGGAACTGTTCAATATAAATTGGGACTGTTTTTTTTACAGGCTTTACCTCTAATTTTAAACACATTATATTTCTTTTATTAATACTGCTTCTACATCTGGTATAATCAAACACTGTCTTGTAACACCAAAATCATAGTATATAAATTACTGATAAAACCAATTATCCTAAATGTCTCTGAAACCTGGAGTACAGATTAAAGATGAGAATAGTCTTATGACAGATTATTAGACCCATCGAAGATGAATACAGCAGATGAGTGAAAAGCAACAAGAAAATTTACAGTCTGTTTAAATCACCACAAATTACTAGCAGTGTGAGGGCTTGCAGTGATTGGGGTATATAGGGAGGATAGCAGATAACATAAAGACAAAAAATTTATTCTTTTCCTCCATTTACCCAATCTAAGTGTTATGGAGATATAAGGATCTCCTTTGAACTCTTCCTAATACTTGTAAGTTGGTCTTAGTTTGTTTGAGGTTGTTATTTATGCAGTCACTCCATATTTTGCATGGTCTGTCCATTGTTCTTTGTTAATATTTTTGTTTTCACTGTGACACTCTACTGCATTTAGTACTAGGACATTCTTGTAGATAACCAAATAATCTCATCTGTGGCTCTTTAATGAATTATGTGACTGCTTTTAGATTTAGTCTTCTAATTTCTTAGCTTTTAATGTCAACTCTCGTTACTTCAGCAGCTGTTCAAGCAGCTGTTCTAAGACATCTCATGTTTTGTTATAATTTTGTGCTCACTGTTTGTAATAGAGGTTCATGTTTGACACATAAAGTTGGCCAAAAAATAAGTCACCAAAGAGTTAACTGGAAGTGGACGTTGTGGCACATAAAGAGAAAAATATTCAGGCAGACTTGGAAACACTTTGAAGTCACCAACTGGAAAGAGGAGTCTAATCACAAACTGGAATGAAGATGGGTGATATCTGCAGCAGCGAGTCTCAAGGGCTGAGAGTGCTGAAGAAGAACAATATGAATACAATGTAGACCTGACAAGGAGAACTCACCAGAGACCCAAGAAATAGTTCTTCTTATAAGAAATCCCTCTGATCCAAATCAGAGTTAAAACATATGGTCAAGCATTTACAGTGTATAATACGGTATGTATAATACAATAATGAATAAGCGTCAAATACGACACATTTATGACACAGAACAGTCCTCACTCGCATAGGGAATAGCAGAGGATGCTTTTCTGTGTGTGTCATGTCATGTCATTTTGATACCATAACCTCATATCACTTTGCTCAAAATCACTGTCTACACACCGTTTTTATGGTCAAAGAGAAGGAAATCATTTAATTCTTTGTTCCAGTTTTGTGATTTTTTTCCCTCTTTATTGTGAACAAAATTATCTTTGCACATTAATATGACGAAATTCCCGTGTGGGTTCCGGGGTCCTATTATAGGGAAAACAAGAATAGACCCACTGCCTACCCAAAAGCATGTCGTAAGAGTCGACTAATTGGGAGCTACATTAAAGCCGGAGTGCATTTGCCTTGCCTGAGATGCAAGGAATCAGCAGTCTGCATACAAGTGAGTCAGATCTGAAAAATGGATGTACACGCAAAACTCAGGTTCTGGAACAGGACTGTAATCCAGAAGTGGATGAACAACCAGAACTTTCCGCCAGAGTTTACAGCTGATAAACGCAAAGAAAATGAAGAAGATATGACGAAAAATAATATAAAATTTTTTTTCCAGTTGCCATCGTGCTTATCTCTGTCTGCTCAGTGATCATAGGTTTCAGTTTCCTGGATGTTTATACAAATTGACAATTTCTTTTTCGTCTATTCCTCTAGTTCTTTAGGGTAGAGTTTCAGAGAATTATAAAAATGCGCTTTTTTTTGGGTTATGAAATTTGCAAAAAAAAATTAATTTTATGAAGATTTTTATGGTGCAGAAGGTTAAGAAATTGTTCTTTTCTTTAATTGTCTGTGGTCATCCTAGACATTCTGTACAAGCGGCCTGGCAATGTGGATGGGATTAACATTTCACGTGAAGTCTGAGTGCGTCTGCCTGAGGGGCAAGAAACCAACAATCCGCACACAAATAAGCCAGATCTGTCAAATGAATGTGCACACAACACTGAAGTCCAGGGACAATGCCAAGTCAAGAAGTGGAGAAACAACCAAGACTTTCTGACAGAGTATACTGTTGGTGAAAGCTATATAAAAAAAAAAAAAAAAACCGATAGTTGTGATTTTGTTTATGTTAAGATTGTCTGGTTCTGACAAAGGATGAAGAGAGCAGCATCTCCAGTGCTAATGGAGGTGGTCACAGAGGCAGTAAGCCCTGGAGATGTAGATGTCATTACGGAGATTGTCACAGAGCTGCCCATGCAGAGTATCAAGCGACAGAAGACGGAGGAGGAGGAGGAGGAGGAAATCTGTCTTGATGATGGGTGAGTTGATGTTTTGTGTCATTTGCCTTTTTTTTTTGCTTTTATCTACCAGCCACTATCTTTTCCAGAAGTCAACACTCTCATTAAGAGAAAATCAGAAACAGATTGGAAAACCAACACAGGTTATGACCATGGAAAAGATTTTCTCAAACACCTGAACAGAACCGACCAAGTCACAGTTGTTCTCTTATGCACTGGACACTGAAACTCAACAAACACTCATATAAATTAGGTATGAGCCAAACAGCTCTCTGCCAGTGTTTTGGTGCTGAACAGACTCCAGAACATGTCCTACAAGACTGTCCTCGGCATAGCCCTTGAGAATTGGCTGGAGAAAGAGAGATTTTTCAAGAGTCCCGTGAAGGAAGCGGCGCTTGTAAAGGACATGCTGATTGGTGATGAATGACCTTTTTGTGGCAGAATGATTGAAGCAGAACTAATTATATTTTAGTACAGATTGATTGAAACTGAATCATTTAACCTGTACAAATTCTTCTCTGCTACAAAATGATTGAAGCTGTGTTAACTTATTTCTGTATAAAAGTATAATCTAACCTGTACTAATTTTTCTCTACTACAGAATGATTGAAGCTGTGTTAACTCATTTCTGTATAATAGAATCATCTAACCTGTGCTAATTCTTCTCTACTAAAGAATGATTGAAGCTGTGTTAACTCATTTGTATGTAACAAAATCATCTTACCTGTGCTAATTTTTCTCTACTACAAAATGATTGAAGCTGTTCTAATTCTCCTCACTATCTTAGAATGATTGAAGCTGTGCTCTCTGCAATGAAATGATCAAATTTGCGCCATTTCTTATCTCCCACAAAACGATTAAAGCTGCACTAATTCTCCTCTCTGACACAGAATCATGGAATTGGAACTGATTCTGTTCTCTGCCACACAATGATTAAATTTGCATTAATTCTTTTCTCTACCACATAATAATTTAGGCAGGGCAATGCTCGTTTCTACCACAGAATGATTGAAGCTTGCTAATTCTCTTCTCTACCGCAAAATGATGCTTGTTCTGCAGTAAGGCAGATAGACTTCAAGACCGCAATAACAAAGTTCGGCACGCATTAAATGCAGCTTGAAGATCAATGCAAACAGAACTGAAGAAGTGCAAGTTAGTAGAATCTGTTAGCCCACTATATATACAGCTGAATGTTTCTGGCCTGAAACAAGTTAGGGAATTTAAATATCTAGGAATTTTTATCATGGAATTATGGCAGAATTGATAAAGAAAAAGAAAACAGACGCCAGAAAGCAAGTGCACTTATATACCTAACTACGAGTGCCAAAAACAAAGATAAAGGTTATGAACAACATATTAATACCAACATTTGAGCTGCCAGTGCCACACATGGACATTATCTAAAGCTCAGATACAAAAAATCACTACTTACGAGATGAGATGCCTCAGAAAAGTGGCCAACCTAGTCGTCTGAAATCGAGTGAATAATAATATTATCAGACAGATTGTGGGATAGCAGATCAAGAAGTTTAGCCGTCTCGCTAGAGGGCAGCAACATCAGATATTATCACAGGCACTACATCTCAGATGGATCAACAACATTAAAGACACTTTACGCCTTTGCACCATGATAGTAGCCAGTGCCAGTTAGTGCACACTGGATCGCATATTATCCCTCCCCATGGCGCTTAACAGCATAAGTAGTTTATAGTGATGATGCCCGGCTCTCTAGCGTAGTTGGCTAAACCTGATTGCGCGGAGACCGGATGACGAACCCCTTGTGGTCCGGGTTTAATCCCGGGGGTAGGCAGGAAAGCCACATTTTCTCCCAGATTTACGGTATTTACAATGGAATCAATGCCGAAAGGTTGCGATATCCATAATACCGAGCCTAAGGGTTAACAACTCATGGCTTCTTGATACTAAAACAAACAAACAAACATGGTGATGATAACCACAAAACGTTTCAAGCTTAATTCTGTTATTCACCACACATGGATTGGTGTTGTGGTAATTCTCTTCTCAACCATGTGCTAATTGTTGTCTAAACCATGCACCAGTTTTCTTCTCAACCACATAATGATTTAAGCAGTGTTAATTTTAGTTTCTGTCTTAGAATGATTGAAGTTGTGCTGATGCTTGTCTCTTCCACAGAATCATCTACGATGAGGAGATCATCCAACAACCAGCCCCTCAGTATCAGAACCTGATCATCCAGCACATGGACATCGCCGAGCCACTGTCCACCTTGAAGCGTCTGTTGGAGATTCGGCTGCAGTGTTCGCTGGCCGATCACCAGTTTTACCTTCAGGATTCCATTGAGGTAAATTTCGCTTCAGTTCTGTACTTCCTATCTCCTCTTCCTCTTTGTTTTTTCCCCCCTTCTTCTGTCCTGCCGAAGCTGCTGCTGCTTCTTCCTTGGCCGATTTGACCAGCTGTTTTAGATTTCCAGCAGTTTCTATACTGCCTACTTAAGACACAGCTCTGTTTTATTTTGTTGTTGTCACATTATAGTTTTGTATAAGTAGTTCCTTAGCTGATACTGTTGTTGGGATGTCAAGTGTTAGACCTTCGTATATTCTGGGTCATATGAGGTGGGGTGTCCACTTCCCTTCCACACCAGCTGTCCTTGTCAGATAACTTCCAGAACATTCTGCATATTGTCTCATTTTTATGACTCTGGGTCGACCTCATAACTTTTCTGGTTGAAAAAATCTTGCCATTTGTTGAGACTGAACCCAGACCCACTATCTCGACAGATAAGCACACCAACTCCTGTGTCATAATTTCTCTCTGCAGTTCTGATGAGGATAAATTTAGATATACTTGTAAACACCAGTGGAAAGAGAAGACCAATAACCAATAATGTCTGCAGCAATGAACCTCAAGGGTTGGGAATACTGAAGAAAAAGAAGACCTGTGAAACAGATGTCATGAACCAGGTTGCTACAAGGGAGAAAAAAAAAAGGGAATAGGGGTAAAGAAAAAAAAAATGATTGCAGATTGTTTGAGAGCTTTGCGTCTATGAAAAAGCATATTCAGTACATGCAGTGGCAACAATGGTCCTGAAATCCCATGCTGTAGTTGTGGAAGACCTTTCTTACTGTGAGCTGCTGTTTGCTAGTCACACTTGCCATCTCCGTGGGTTGTGTGTGTTTTCCATGCCTTCCTGTAGCACAATGTGACACTATCATATGGAAAGGTAGAAAGGTGCCAGTGAACAGCATTCTGGGAGACCATGACAGTTACAAATAATCTGCTTTGAATTATGGTCAACAGGTTGACAGGCAAGATGCAAGCATTCTAGTTAGTGTGCTGTTTTTACTAATATGGGGTCATTATCCAATGTTACCGTGACTGTTACATGGTTAATCTGTGGCGGTCATATGGTTAATGTTAGAGTGCCTTAGTGAAATGTGCGATGCAAGAAGAAAGTCTGATCTGTGAAGTTTAGGTGAAAGGATTTATGTTTTGTTAATTTTTTTTTCATATTAAAAAAAAATAAAAAATTTAGCACTTTTCGTACCAACCCTATGCTGTCAGTGCCATCCATGAACAGTCCTAGAAAAACATAAGCGCAGAATAACATGTAAGATGAGATGTATAAGAAAAAATTTGTTGGGAAAACAAGAAGAGACAGTCTTCAATTAAGAACTAAGAACAATAGTAAGCACAGTACCGCTAAGTGATTGCATAGAACATCAAAGAATCATATGGTTTGGGCAGGTGATCAGTATTGAACAAAATCAAGGAGCGGCAGCTACAAGTTGACCAACAGACACCTCAAAAACACAGCATGACAGTAATACAAGCTACACAACTAGCAGAAGATAGGAAACTATATGAAACTCTTCTGTGGGATATTTTACTGCTTAAGCAGAAGAAAAAGAAGATATACACGAGAAACGGCACCTTCCCATATAGGTCCGTGGCCCCATTGTGTGGAAACAAGAATAAACCCACTGCCTCTCCAACAGGCATGTTGTAGGCGTCGACTAATTTGGGGAATCTATTGAAGTCAGCGTGCATCTGCCCGACTGGAACTACCAACTGCACACAGATCAGCCAATAAAACAGATTAACATGCTAAACTCATGCCCTGGCAATAAGCCAAAGTCCAGATGAGCAAACAGCTAGGACTTTCTGCCGGAGCTCACAGCCGGTGAACAAAGAAGAAGAAGAAGAAGCATGACATTAAATGACATTAATACAAACTATGGAACTGACAAAAGACAGGAAACTGCATCTCACTCTTCTCTGCAACATTTGACGGCATAAGCAGTAGTGCAGAGAAGAAAAAAAAAAGAAGATATAAACTAGTAATTGACCTATTGAAGTACAGCGAAATATGCCAGGCAATACATTTTGTAGTGTTTTGTTTGTATCCTCATGTTTTAAACTGTGGCTTCTGTTGTTTTCGGCCAAAATTGACATTTATTTGTTTTTGATTTGCCTAGTTGGACAGCAGCAAAAGCCTGGTTGATCAGTGTGTCCAGGGTGAAGGGATGGTGCAGATTAACCTGGAGGTCAAATCACAGCCTGGAGTCAGTCCCAAAATCAATATTCTCGATATACTTAAAACAGCAGAAGATGAACTCGAAGAAAAATATGGTTAGTTGGAATTCTGTATTGTTTGTTTTTTCGTTTATGGCAATTGTAACAGGATCCACAGTAACTAGGCAGATAGAGGCCTGCCTGTCAGCTCAAAGGTCAGTGGTTAAAATCCGCATCAAGGTATTCTCCCCCTATAACTGACCTTGGCTGCCATGTGGACCAAGCCTAAAATGGATACCAGCTATTGTCCTGAGAAATAAAAGTAGCTGGCATGGTTTAGACCTCATCATCTGTCAATTGCTGATTAGTAAATAAAAATATATGTCTATAACTGTCTGCCTTGGGGGCTGCCCTGGTGTCGCGGCTAGATTCTCACCTACCATTTGAAGTCCTGGGAAGTAAAGGTGGCCGACATGCTGTTGATGACATCACCAACTGACCGATTAGTCTATAAAATATAGCAGCTGGCATGGTTTAGACCACATCATTTGTCAATTGCTGGTTAGTAAATAAAAATATATGTCTATAACTGTCTGCCTTGGGGGCTGCCATGGTGTCGCGGCTAGATTCTCACCTCCAGATCCAAAGGTCGTAGGTTCAGGACCTGATGAAGCCAGACATTTCTTTTTTTTTCTTCAAAAATGACCTTGCCTCCCTGGTGGACCCAGCTTTAAATGGGTACCATTTGAAGTCCTGGGAAGTAAAGGTGGCCGACATGCTGTTGATGACATCACCCACTGACCGATTAGTCTGTAAAATATACGTCTAGCCTTATATGCCCAATGTGCCTGAAGGCTTGGAAGAAGGTCCTTTACTTTCTTTAGTTACTATATGCCTTATCTGACAGCTATGGGTTTTTTTTTTTTTTTTTTTTTTTTTTTTACGTATCCAGAAACCATGAGTTGTAAACCCTTTGGCTCGGTACTATGGATATCGCAACCCTTCGGCATTGATTCCATTATAGGTACCGATTAATCTGGGAGAAAAGGGCCCTTTACTGACATTGTATTTCAGTTGCCGTTGTGATGTCATACTTATTTTAGGACATATTGGTCAAGTGTAACCCTTTCATCCTGAGAAGACCCAGAACTGACACGGCTGGTTGGGTCCAGTTCAGCGTAAATGTTCCTTTTTGGACCTGTCCACATTGACTGTTTACAAGACGCATGGTTAATGCTTTTGGCTGTTTTCGCACAGGCACAAACACTTAGGAGGTCAGGATAGGAGTACACTACCTAACAGCAGCATTTATTTTTATTTTCTCTGAGCTAAATGGCTTTTTTAAAGCCAAGACGCCAGATTTTCCAGTCTGCCTAAGTGATAGAGGTCATGGCATGAGCCACCTGATACATCTATTTTTAAAGCAATAATTGGGAGGGGGGAGGAGTATATTTCATTTAAGACTTCATCCTGTTTGTATTTATGCTTTACTGCCTTTATATATATCTTTATATTAATTCATTATCTTGTTGTGTCATTATATGTCACACAGGGCTCACAATCTATTCCTCTATTCTGTTCTATTCTGTGCCATCAGTTCAATATCATGGATGGAATCCAGTCTAGCAGCTTTGGCGTCTCTCATCAGTTTTCATCTTAGGGTTTCTTTTGGGCATCCTCGTCTTTATATATTTAGAACAAAATTTAAAAATATAGATAAATACAATTTTAACGAAATAATTAGTGACCTTTGTAAAAGTGTTGGTTTTCTATATATTTCCCTGGAACTCCAGCAAGGCCATGACACATTTTTTTCAGTGTTTCCAGGATGAGAGGGTTACAATTCTAAATGGTTCCATCATTCACATCTGCCCTCCCCATGTGGGTTGCAGGGCACCTTGGGGGGGGGGAGGGAGATTAGACCCACTGCCCCCCCCCCTTCCCGCATAAGTAAACGACAACTAATTAGAGGTGTTTCCTTGGGAGCTGGAGTGCATCTGCTTGAAAGGCAAGGAACCAGCAGTTTGCAAGGTCGGTAAAACAGATGCCAGCCAGCGCAGCACTTGTCAGTGATATTGATATGTTTTGCTTGATTACAGAATGTATTTGTGCATTGCTTGTCTGGGTTAGCCTTCCCCAAAATGAAAATGACACCTTCTGAACATTGGATACATTTCTAGCAGACTTTTTTTATGTGAAAATTATAGAAATTTCATCAAAATATCACATGATGATTAGGGGAATTTCCTTTGAAGTCAGAGTGCATTTCTCTTGAGATTTGAGGAACCAGCATTGTGATTAAAAAGCCAGATCTGTACAATAGGTGTGCAAACAAAACAAGACCAAAGTTAAGATATGGACGAACAACCAGAGTTTACAGCCGATGAATGCCTTAAAAAAAAATGAATAAGCAGAGGCTAATGAAATGCAGATTTTGCAGGTATGAAATATAGATTTTATAAAGGTTTCTGAATAATGATAACAAATGAAATGCAGATTTTTATGAAGTTATTGAACAATATAAAAAAAAAAAAAATTAAATGTAGATTTTATGGCCACAGTTCAGAGCAGAATTGTTCCAACTGTCTTCGTCTTGCTGATAGTAGTTGACTGGCTCATTTCCATCTTCACATACAAGTGTTATATTGTTCTGTAGGGACTGCAATATTCTGAGGCATATAGAGAGAATGTTAGTTAACAGAAACACAAGAACTGCGTAGGCAAAAATGAAATTAAATAGTCTATTTTATTAATTAAAGTTTGTTTATTTTAAAAACTGTCTGCCAAATAAAATGTAGATTGATATAGTTGTAGTTCAGTCTGGCAAATGAAGTATTATATTTATTTAGTTGCAGAGCAGTCCATGCAGTCAAGCCAAGGTCAGAATGCTAAAGTTGTTATACCACTTCCAGAAGAGTCCGAGAATGTGACCCGGTGGATTGTTGACCAGAACTTTCGGCGAGATCAAGAGAGGTTGAAGATTCCATTTGGTAAGTCTTCTGGATTGTCCATATGCCTTACTGCATTATTCAGTTTTTGGTTAATATTTTTGTATGTATATTTGTATCTTATTTCAAGGTGTTTGTGTTTATATTATTGAGTCTTCTGTTTCATTGTTACTCTTTTGATTAGTGTCTTTGTGCCTTCTAATTGTATGTTTTCAGTATTGCTCTTTGATAAGTCTTTATCTGTGCCGTTTAGGTGTCCTAACTCATTGTTATTCTTTTGATAGGTGTCTTTATCTATGCTTTTTTCATTGTATTATTTCATAATTACTCTCTTGATAAATATCTTCATGTGTGGTTTTTCCATTGAATTATTTTGTTATTACTATTTTGATGCATCTTCCTGTGTGCCTTTTAGGTGTATTATTTTATTATTACTTTTTTGATACATGTTATCTGTGCCTTTTAGGCATCATAGTTCATTGTTATTCTCTCATTGATGTCATCGTCTGCCCTTTTAAGTTGTATTTTTTTTATTGTTACTTTTGATGTCTTTATCTGCTCTTTCAAATTGTATTATTTCATGATTACTCTTTTGATAAGTGTCTTAGCCTGAGGTTTTTAGTTGTTTTATTTTATTGTTACTCTTTTTGATGTCTTTATCTGCTCTTTCTAATTGTATTATTTCATGATTACTCTTTTGAAACATGTCTTCATCTGTGTTTTTTATGTGTATTATTTTATTCTTACTCTTTTGATACATGTCATCTGAGCCTTTCAGGCATCTGTTAATAGTTATTACTTCATAGATATCTGCATTGCGATAATTTTTCAAAAAATTTGTAATATGTAATTGTTACTCTTTCGATAAGTGTCTTCGGCTGTGTCTTAAAAGTGTCTTATTTCATTATTAGCAGAATGTACAGCTGACTCTTTTTGATTTCCAATTGAAAAGGTTTTTTTTACATGCAAAGCGACCTCCAAGTTCTTGACCCTTGTTCAAGGAACCTAGACACACATACAATATTTCAGGATTTAGGTGGACTGTACTGTTCTTTCTTCTTAGAAATAATATCCACAGTCAAGTTTGTGAGTTCATCTGGGTCTACAACTGCCCCTCCTAACACCTCATTGTGTTGCAGATTGTTTCTGTAGTTGTTATCAGTTGCTGTATCAGCATCTTGTCTGTATCAGATTATATCCTGTGGGGTTCGCTCGCTCTCTACAGAGGGACCGTTCGCCCTCTGAGAGCATGGCACAGAGCTCCACAGCTCCAGTGATGACCCCCAGTTATCTCTGAAACGTGTGCACATTTTTCACTCAAAGAACAACCTAAAACTAAACCGACAGCCTTCAGAGCCTGAGGAAAAAGATTTGAAAACCACATCACAAAGGAGGCAGTTATGTTATTCTTCATCTTCCCGTTTACTGACTATAAACTCCTTTGGAAAGTTCTGGCTGTTCATCTACTTCAGGACTTTAGACTAGGACCAGAACCTGAATGTTGTGTGAACAACTGTTTTACAAATCAGACTTTTTAATATGCAGACTGTTGGTTCCTTGCCTCTCAAAGGAAACATATTATTATTCATTTGCATTTCATGTACTGGGAGGCAGTTATATTAATAACTAGTTGCATATCATGTACAGGATGTTGCGAACCAGCCTCACCATATTTTGGCTGTTTTCCATGTGTGGGGTCCCTCGCCCCATTATAAAAAAACAAAAACAAGAATACGTCCACTGCCCCCATCTCCCCCCAACAAGCATGTTGTAGGAGACAACTGATTGGGGGTATTCTTCAAAGTCGGAGTGAATCTGCCTGAAGGGCAAGGAAGCATTAGTCTGCATGCAAATAAGCACATGTGTGAAACGTTGAAGTTTATAATAAGGCTTCATCTCTTTTAGCTGCACTCCAGGTTTTATGTATATGTTAAAAAACAACTAACTATCTTTACTGTCTGTATTTAGGGTGGTGTAGGACAGGGACAGGGTGTGTTGAACCTGAAGACTTAGGTTCGTGTGTTTTGTGCAGTCACTATGGACTGGGCAGGTTATGATTTTGTTTTCTTTAAACCTCTGACAGAAAAAAAACTTCCATTAACTACTAAGGATTCAAACAAGGTCTACAACACAATAGCCTAGCATTGTAACCAGTTGGCCAGCTACTCCTCATTTATACTTGTATATTAACAACACTAATTTCAGACCCAGCTCAGTGGAGTGAGCTGCATGTGAAGCATTGGATCCAGTGGGCTGTGAAAGAGTTTCGTCTGCAGGCCGTCAATGTCGACGCTTTTAATTTGAATGGAGACCAGCTGTGTGCCCTGACACACCCAGAGTTTGTGCAGCACATTCCGCACGATCCCGGTGATATCTTCTGGACTCATTTGGAGCTCTTGAGAAAATGCAAGTTTGTTGGTGAGTTCAGTCAGATATTTAATATTGCATTCACAAATATTGGATTCATATAGTGTATTAGTGTATGTTGCCACGAGAAGAAACCACCAACAGGCAGTAAATATTGGAGTTGTTTGCAAATTTCTATGAAACACTACATAATTATTTTTCTTAGCATTCACTGATTGTAAACTCTGGCAGAAAGTCCTGGTTGTTGATCCACTTCTAAACTTTAGTCTTTTTTTCAGGACTTGAGTGTTGAATGCTCATTCATTTTACAGATCTGGCTTATTGTATGCAGACTGTTCATGCTTAACCTCAGGTAGATGTATTCTGACTACATACACTGGCCAGGCCCTCGGTATGGAACCTGTTTTTGGAATGACCATGCAGATGTATAGATAGGTTCTTGACTAGTATGATCCCTGTACGTGGTGCACCATCACATATGATTCAGCACCTTTGCATCCCTTCTTACATAAGTAAAGGGATTGCATCATCAGACCAAAAAAAAAAATGTAATTGCTGCAGAAACTTGCAGGATGCCATTCGATAAACAGATCAGTCAAATGGTGTGGGGTGCACAGAGTACATGTACAATGGTTGCTGATAACTGCCACTCTGAGGAAGTCACTGTCCGGACATGCACTCCTTGGCTACTGATCACTAGAATGTCCAAGTGAAACTGTAAGGTGAGCAAATAGTAATGTGGTTTCTCTTAATGGCACCCCACTCCAAGACCTGGTGTCGTACACTTATTTTGGCAGTAATGTAGATAAAGATGGAGGAACTGATAGAGATATTTAAATAAGAATACAAAAGGCAAGAGGAGCTTTCTTAGCACTATGGAATTTGTAGAGGTCAAAAGAAATGCTAAACTAAAAATGTTTAATTCTAATGTCAAATCAGTACTTTTATATGGGGCGGAAACATGGAGAACAACTGAGGCAATTACTAATAAACTACAAACATTCATTAATTGGTGCCTGCGCAGAATATAAGGAATTAAATGGTGTGATAGAATAACTAATGTAGAGCTTTGGGAGAGAACTAAACAGGCTCCAGTGGACCAAGAGGTGAGGAAAAGACGCTGGAGTTGGATAGGACACACACTGAGAAAACAGGAGAACAGCATAACTAGAATGTCTTTGCATTGGAACCCACAGGGGCATAGGAATAAAGGAAGGCCACAAAACACACGGAGAAGAGAGCTGGAGAATGAAGTTAGAAAGATGGGGAGGACATGGGGAGAGCTTCATGCAATGGCGAAGGATAGAACAACTGGGTGTGAGTTGGTTGAGGGCCTATGCTCCATTGGGGGATAGAAAGGTAGAAGAAAAAGAACAAAGACGGGAAAGGCCACTGGTGTTGGATTGAATTCCATCCATGATATTCGAGTTGATTGCACAGGATAGAACGGAATGAAGGAATAGACTGTGAGCCCTATGTGACAAATATTGGCATTACAGGACGATGAGTGAAGGAAGTGGTTAAAATGACCAGAAGGTTTTGGATTTTTTACTTGTTAATTTTACATTCAGTAGTTTGTCATTTCTTCCTGAGTGACCAGCACTCCATAGCATTGCTAGATCAACTCAAAGCAGTTCTGCTGCCAAATTGCTGCAGCTGGAATCAAACTAGGTATCTCAGAAATATGAAGCATGTTCAGCACCTAAACCACAGATGCTGACTAGACACCTAAAGGCAAAGCAAAAAAAAAAAAAAACTTAACATAAGGATGTAAATCATTTAAAATGAAGAAAATTAACATAACTGTTGATATTTCATAATGTTTCTCATCGGTTGTTGATAAGAATATCAAGAAAAGATATAGAACCAAATGAAAAATGTATCAGCAGGCTTCACAATAAATCGAACACAAACAAAACGTGAACGTTGCAGCTATGGAGCGTTCATCAGCACATACATAAATAAAACAATACCACACAAAATAATTAGTATCGCAAAGCGGTCAGGTCGATGTCTTGTCAGTAGACTGACGAGGCATCTGGCACCAGAGAATAAATATCCACGCAGAATTCCTGGCCATAACTTGAGGGTTTTAGATAAAACTGTGTGGGCAGTTCAATCCCCTAGGAGTTTAGATAAAACTGTGTTGGCAGTTCTGTCCTCTAGGTGTTAAAATGCCCAGTGTTGATAAGAAGTATGATTGTATTCTTCTGTTATTTGGATTAAGTTACTCTGTAACCTTTCCTGTTGTTAATTTTTTTTCCTGGCTTGGTGGCAATCATATGAGAATGTCATGTAAGTTGTATTTTCCTGTATTGCAGCTGTCATGCAGCAGCCGACACCTCATGCAATCACAACCATCACAGTTTCCACTTCTGATGCTGATGGGAAATATGGTGAGTCAGGAGTATGTTTATCCCCTTTGCCCAGAGAAGCTACTAATCCAGCATTGCCATCAGTTACAGACATCATTAAATGCTGCCAGAGCGGCATGGCCGCATTAGTTAGTTCCCAACAGGCCTAGTTAGCATGGTTCTGTTTGTATCTGTGCGGTGTCTAGGAGGGCTAGATATGATTATATTTTCAAAAATAGCATGGTGTGATAGTAATTGGATTTATGTCGGCTCTGTGGCTAAGTAGATGCAAGCGCCTCGTAATGCTAGGATGCCGGGTTCGATCCCATTTGCGGGCCATGCACCTTGCGTTGGTTTCGACAGTGGTATCAAGAAAGCCGGCCGTTAAGGAAGCAATGACAAACTACTGGACGTAAATTTGCCTAGAAAAACCACACAACAGCCAGGGGCTGTTGGTGTTGGTTTTGCAACGTCCTGTAAAGGATACGCAACTAACCAAATTGGATTTATGGTCTGAGTCACCCTATTTGAATTATTTAGTCCATTTGGGTTTATTTATTACTCCCCTTCATGTATTTATTTAAACAAAACATGGACAATCACATTTTGGCAAGCACTCATCTTTCAGACCACAATTGCATGCATGTTATGTTTAACAAAAAATATATATATAATAAAATAATGAATACACACATCATGTATACACAATGTACATACTCTGAATATACGCGTACACATACACTCTTATCTGCCCATACCTACACAGACACCAGCACCCCCCCTACATATTCATAAATACACACACACACACACACACAAACATGCTCATACAAGACACAAAAAAAGCACCCACACTCGTGCATGCAGGCATGCACACACATGAGAGAGGCACAATCACCTTTATACACACATGCACTCCATCATATACAAACCATACACATACGTGCATCTTCACCAGCATGCAGTAGAAACGGAGAAAGAAAGATTAACGATGTAATGAACAAGTTTCATGGTTTTCATAACTTTTGAAACTGATAATAAAATTAAAATCATTTCAGGTCGAGTGAGGTCTGTGAGCAAACACAGGCCACGTTCACCGCGTATAACAGGGGAGGAAAGAATGTCCCCAGGGAATCGAACAGGTAGGGTGTCTCTCGGTTGTTGTTTGCTGTTATGGATAGAGTTGTAAGTAAAATAAGGTAAAAGACACTTTTCATGTCTTAGACTTAGCGTCACCTGACAGGTGATGTGGTTTATATCACACTTGCTGTCTCTACCTTCTGGGATATTTACTGGTTCCCATTTCAGGTTGGATGTCGAGGTCAGTTATGCACATAATTTTGCTTTGAGGCAGATTTGAACCGAAGATCTTTAGACCAGCGGGCCACTGCTTTTCTCTTATTTGTTGGGGGTGACATTTCAAATGGTTAGACCACATGTGTAGTGTATAATTTTGCAAAGATTCCCCCCCCCCCCCACCTTTATGCTTTCACATCTACGTGTTATTTTTGTGTAGTTGTTGAAGTTATTGTTGTTTGTCCCACTGAGTATGTCACTGTTGCTGTGATACCACTTTGTCAGTTTGCAAAAGATAGCTAATTATTAGCAAGTCTATAACGGGCTGGACTGAATTGGTTGTATGTATATCTCTGCTCCATTAGGAAATGAAAAGCAACAAAAAAAATCAAGCAGCAGTAATAGTAGAAGAAGAAGAAAGCAAAGATGAAGATTCTCTTCTTCTTCATGTTCACCTGCTGTAATCTCTGGTTGTTCGACCACTTTTGGACTGCAGTCCTGTTCCAGAACCAGAGTGTTGTGTGTGCATCCATTTTACAGATCTGACTCATTTTTATTTAGACTTCTAGTTCCTTGACTCTCAGGCAGATGTACTCCGACTTTAAAGAAAGCTCCCAATTAGTCAACTCTTAGGACATGCTTTTGGGTACACAGTGGGTCTGTTATTCTCCCTCCCCCTCCTCCCCCACCCCCCAATAATAGGGCCCAGGAAGCCACACGGGGAAGTCAAAGATAAAAAACGAAGAAACCGAAAATGAAGAAAGACTTAAAATTTCCCAGAGATGTTTTTTGACTAAACTTGCTGATAGTCAGAATTGTCTTTCGAATGTTCTATGTTTATTACCATCATATGCTGTGCTGATAAGTCGAGGGCTTCATTATCTCAGACGATCACAAGAACCACTGATCAGGTCAGAGTTCTTTCCATTAAGCTACATGATCGAGGTATTTATATCTCAATGTTCCTGTTGCTCTTCCAGTCACTACCAAGTTCCTGAGTCCATTGCACCCAGTGTAGATTCTAGGCTTCAGTTGGGGGGAGGGTGGGAGGCTGGTGAAGAAAAAAAGATTAGAAACCCCATAAGAGGCGACTAATTCTGGATGTTTCCTTTGAAGTTGGAGTGCATTTGGCTGAGAGGCGAGCAACTGGCAGTCTGCATACAAATAAGCCAGATCTGTAAAATGGATATGCACACAAAACTCAAATTCTACAAGTTAAAGTCCAGAAGTGGATGAACAACCAGAACTTTCCACCGGACTATGCAGCCGGTGAATGCTAAGAAGAAGAAGAAGAAGTGCCCATTTCTACTCATTATTTAGGTTAATATGACATAGAAATCCGGATAAACATTAAGCCGTTAAAGAACCATAATGAGGCCCTGAAGATAGGGGTATACATTAGGATATTATCTATTTCATGAAACAAAAACGCTTTCAGATACTGAGATTCTAGAAATACATGTAATTAAAATACATTTGGAAGAAATTTAAACAAAAATAAATAGACATTGAAAATATTCTGGCCACACCGTCACATCTACTTTGCCACCTTTTATTGGAACTTTTGCAATGATGATTTTGATACTGTTTGCTTGATCTATTCTTATGATACTGGCTTTTCTGAGCATGTCATTGCGCCAATGGAGTATAATCCCACTAATTATGACATTACATTTGGCATGCCTTTGGCCAAAAAGTATTTAGTTTGAATCTGCAGCAACTATGAGTTTTTTAATTGACTAGGGCTCTCACGTTGACCCAGCCAAAAATAGGTTTTAGGATCTGTCCTGGGAAGTAAAGGCAACTGGCTTGAGGTTGACCCTGTCTCCTTTCGAATACTTTGTTTCTTGTGTCCGTATTCTACTATGTGGGTGTTGCAAGTTAATAGATGATCGGTATCCGAGCTAGGGAGCGCTCTGTTGCTTTTTTGCTGTGGTGTTGTAGAGTTTTCAATTATCAATGACTCCTTCAGTCCACTACTGGACGTAAATTTGCCTAGAAAAAAAAACACAACAGCCAGGGGCTGTTGGGGTTGGTTCTGCAACATCCTGTAAAGGATACGCAACTAACCTAACCTTCAATCCATGTTCTTCTTGGTCATCCCTTACCTTTTATTGTTTCTACTTTCATGTTGTACGCTCTCGTTGCTGGCATCATTGAATTCATTTTAATGAAATGCCAAAAGATTGCAGGCTTTGTTATTCAGTGAATTTAATCATAGTGTTTTGTTCCGTTAGTTCTGGTATTAGTTTGAGAGTACTCATTCATCTGAAAAAATATGGGTATTGCACCATGTGCCAGATGAGAAGAATCCTTGACATCTACAGTGTGGGTTAAATAAAAATATTAACCATATTTTTCAGGGAACAATGGACAGATCCAGCTGTGGCAGTTTCTTCTGGAACTTTTGACAGACAGATTGTGTCGGGAGGTCATCACCTGGGTCGGCGAGGAGGGGGAGTTCAAACTCGTTAGTCCTGAAGTTGTGGCCCAAATGTGGGGTCAGCGCAAGAATAAGCCGACCATGAACTACGAAAAGTTATCAAGGGCGTTGCGCTACTACTACGATGGAGATATGATTGCTAAGGTAAACATTAGTAATTTACCTCAGGGGATTGGGTTCAAGTATAAAAAAGTTAAAAGTAAAGGTTCCCTTTCCATGCTTTTAGGCGTATAGAGCATATAGGGCTAGACCTATAATTTCATAGACCAATCAGCACAAGATAGGTGATGTGGTCACATCACGCCGGCCACCTTTACTTCCTGGGACTGCACCCGGTACCCACTCAAGGATGGGTCGATTTGGGAGTCAAGGTTATTTTTTTTTTCAAAGTCCGGCTCCGCCAGGGAGCGAACCCACCACCTTCCTATCCACATGTGTGCGTCTAGCCGCTCTGCCACTGTGACTCCTGGGTTCAAGTATGTTGACAGTTAAGTACCCTAAATTCTCTGTACGGGTTCCAGGGCCTCATTAAAAAATGTCTGGAGTGGAGGAGCATAGACTCACTGTCCCTCAACAAGCAAGCCATAAAAAATAGCTAGCATCGCGTGTACAGGGCCAAAAGTCTGAGATATCATAGGTATGTTTTGTTATTTGTTTTACTTTCCAGAAGCCATGAGTTGTTAACCCTTAGGCTCAATATTATGGATATCGCAACATTCGGCCTTGATTCCATTAAAAATACCGTAAATCTGGGAGAAATGTGGCTTTTCTGCCTACCCCGGGAGTGAACCCGGACCACAAGGAGTTCGTCACCCGGTCACCGCACAATCCGGTTTAGCCAACCATGCTAGAGAGCCGGGCATAGCATAGATATAAACCACAACAAAGACATCCCAGCTGCCTTTTTTGAGTATGAATGCAAGGTGAAAAAAAAAAAACATAAACAGAATGGATAGAACATGGCCATTCATGGGGTGTCTGTAAATGCTATGCTGACTCATGGCTATTTGTCATCATCGTCATCAAATGACTTGCCGACCGGCGTAGATGATTATGTCTCTCTGAAATTTGCGATCTTCAGCAGTATGTATCAGTTCATGTGTTGATCTCCCCCTCCGTGCCATGACAAAAGGCTGTCAAGAATCATCTCCAATGTCTTTCTCTGATTTACTGACATCGTATTATGCTTGTTCCGGCATTCCAGACACTTACAGTGTTCCAATCTTCTCCATACCTCCTGCTGACTGACTGTGCCAGTCTGACGTTGAATGACAAGCCTTGTGCACTTTGTGTGCAACTCTTCTCTGGTCAGCAGTTTCCACATGTGGATAGTAGTCAGCGGTTTCAGTGCCTGAGCTACTGAGTTTAGTGCTTGGTGCAGCCCTGCAAGCTGTGTTTTACATGAAGAATGCCTTTCATTTGTGCAGCAGTTGTGTCACGGTGCTCATTGTGGTTGGTAGCCGATTTACTTGTGAGCTGGGGGAATACCTTCTGTAGTAATTCTGTGTGTGTATGGCCAACTTGTCGTGCCTGTCTACTTTCATCAATGATGGACTGCATTTCTAATGGCACTTGTTAGCTTTTGGCGTCTCTAAAATGTACATTTGCTGCTTGCTCATATTTCTGGATTGTTCCGTGGCTAATTGTTTGTTCCCCAGTTTTTCGAACGTGACAGAGGAACATTTCATTTGATTTGCACTGGCACAAGAGCAGAGCAACTATGGGGAAACCCGATTGCAGTGATGTTGAAACCCCAACTTCTTCTTCTTCTTCTGTGTTCACTGGCTGTAAGCTTCAGCGGAAGGTCCTGGTTGTTTGCCCATTTGGAACTTTACCTTTGTGCTAGTACCTGAGTTTTGCGTGTACATCCGTTTTACTGGCTTATTTGTGTGCAGTTAGTTGTTCCTTGCCACTCGGGTAGAGGCACTCCAACTTTAAAGGTAGTCCCTAGTTAGTCAACTCCTATGACATGCTTATTGGGGAGACAGTGGGTCTGTTCTTGTTTTGCCCACCGTAGGATCTGGCCTAAGACTAAGTCTTCACTGGTCAGCTAACATTCAGTCCATATACCTGCTATGTGACTACAAATGGTAATTGGTTCAGTGGAAAGTTCTCATTTTGACCTGGTTCTCTAAGGGTGTTCATGATTGGCTGGATCCATTGATTAGCCCTTGGATATTGTCGCTGTGCTCAATGTACCTGCATGTTCAGATAAATAAGATGAACCTAACAGCATTGTCAGCATTGGCGGGGGTTAAAAATTGTCTACAATTTTACATTACTTTTGTGTACTTTAAACATTTTCTAAAATTATACCTTCTCTCATGTACTTTGTCTAGAATTATACAGTCTCTCATGTACTTTAAATGTCTAAAATTATACATTTTCTCATGTACTTTAAACATTGATATTCATCATTCTCTCTTCCTTTGTTTCCAGGAGAAAAGAGTAGATCTCTCCCCCCCCCCACCCCCCCCCCCCCCCCCTTCAACAAGCATGTCATACAAGGCAATTGATTAGGGGGACGTTTCCTTCAAAGTCAAAGTGCATCTGCCTGAGAGGTGAGGAATCAGCAGTCTGCATACAAATAAGCCAGATCTGTAATATGTGCATGCTAAACGCAAGCTATGGAACAAGATCAAAGTCCAGAAGTAGATGACAGCAAAGAAGAAGCAGATGTAGAAGAAACATTCTCTCCCTTGTTTTCCAAGATTTGCTAAACAAATTTTTTGTTACCTTTTGTCATGTACTTTAAATATTGTTTACAATTAGACTTTCTTTCATGCAGTTTCAATATTGTTTACAATTAGACTTTCTTTCATACAGTTTCAATATTGCATAAAACTTTATCTCATGTACAGCATTGTCCAAAATGATGATTTGTCTTGTACTTGAAACATTGCCTAAAATTATGTCTTCCCTCATGTACTTTCAGTAGTTTGAAATTATAGTCTATCGTGTATTTTCAACAGTGCCTTCTCTTGTGTGTGGCCAACATTGTCTGTATTATATCTTCTGTCTTTTGTTTAAAACATTTGTCTACAATTATCTCCCCCTAATGTTGACTCACATTGGCTACGATGCTTTTAACAAATGTCCCATTGTGAAGAACACAATCTGAATAATTTCTTCCACACACAGGTGCACGGGAAACGATTCGTCTACAAATTTGTGTGTGATCTAAAAATGCTACTGGGCTACTCAGCAGCAGAGCTCAGCCAGCTGGTGGGTACGTCTGAGGAGATATCAGTAGTTGAAAGACGGCAGCCACAGCATGTCCGTTCAAGACCCACATACATTGCCACCATCAAGAGCGATGTTCACGCAGCAGCAGCAGCTGCACGACTCATCGAACAACAGACAGCTACTTCTCGAATAATTGAGCAGCGGACGCAAGTGGTACAAACTGTCGATTGACTATATGACCTGGAATGATTATCGTAACCAAACCAGATACTTCATCGAGGTACAGCATGTTGAGAAAGCTTGGGTTCTTCTGTGAGTGGTGTAACGAACACTGCAACCTGAGCTTGCCAGCTATTGTGAAAATAATAACCTTTCTAGTGGAGAAAGTATTTCACTGAAATGTGGAAGAGTGATGTACTTTAGAGTTTGAAGACTCCAATAATTTGGGGCATGGAAAATTTATAAGTGGAGGTGCATGAGAATTATGTACTATAGCCGTGGGCATGGGTGATTTATACAATTGTGGTGTATAAGAATTATGTACTATAGAGTAGAATTATTTAATGCAGATGTGGGACAACTTAATAGTTTGGAAGGTTTATAAAAATTATGTACCAGAGGCCAAAGTGATTTAGACAGGAGAATAATTAATTTTAAACTTTAATAAAGTTTAACTTAAGAAAAAAAAATACAAATAAAATAATTTAACTTTAGTACGGCTGTGAAGATATAATGAGTGAAGAAAAATGTGATATATAAGGGATGTCTTTACAATGGGGTGTTTGCAGCGGACAGAACAGATATTATGGTCAGACATCCTGCATTATTAAACAAAACAAAAATAACAAACAAAGACCGGGCACTTGTATACTGTTTGAATATGATATGTTTAGTGAAAACCAGTACTTCAGAATGGCTTGTTTAATTTTCCAATTTGCTGATGACAATTGATGTGAGCTCGTGTCCAGTATGTTCTTTCTTTTATCTTTTTCAAATAGATAAAGAGTATTTATTGCAGCTAGAATTTTCTATAAGTGACTTGTTTTTCTTTGAAAATACAGTCTTTAGATGTGAGGATTCTTCATTGCTATGTCAAATTGTACCTCCAATATGGTGTTAGAGTAAGTTCAATCAGATAATATGTGATCTCCGTTAGTTTTTTTTTTTGGAGTGTCAAGCAGTTGTTGGCTCATTGTGCTCTAAGTATGTGATTTCTAGAGGTCATTTTGTGGGACAAAAGAATAGACCCAAAGCCCCTGAAAAAGCATTTTGTAAAAGGTGTCTGATTAAAGGTTTGCTGAAATCGGATGCATTGGGCCAAAAGGCGTATCGCAGCCAGTGTTGCCACTTTGGATGTTTAATATCCAGATTTAGATGTTTTCCCTTGCATTTAGATTGAGTTTTTGACGTTTAGATGGTAAATGTTTCTCTAGATTTTTTCTTTTGAAGTGAATTTATCAAATCTAACCTAAGAAACAGGATGGAATTCTTAAATGTTATCTTGACAATAAAATTCGGCCTGATAAGAGTAGGAAAAGGCTGTTCCACTTATCAGCTCCCTGATTGGGTATTAAAAGAATTTGGAACAGCTAAAGCATCCCAGAGTCATTTTGGAAATGAAGCTTCAACTTCATCATCCAAGCTAAGTTTCTACTGTGGATCTTGTAAGGCAGACTTCAGTAAAGATGAGGACATGATTCTATAGGTTAAGTCATAATAATAGCTATGTAATTTATGACTCTTTCAATTTGGATGTTTTTTCTAGATTTTTGTAAACGCAAATTTAGATGTTTTTAGATATTTTGTGACTCCATTTTGGATGTTTTATGTCAAAGAAAAGTGGCAACACTGATCGCAGCACTATCTGTAAACTACAGTGCAATGTGTCACTGCTGTTTTGATGTGACTGCTGAAGTTGTTGCTTTAACAAATAAATGTTTGGGTCTAAGGAGTTAAAAAACTGTGGATAGAGCTCAAGTAAGAACCTGAGAGGTTGGTATGTATTGGTGTTTTCTTTCGAATAAACAAAGGCAGAAAGACAGATTATAATACTTGGGCAACACATGTCTTCTACAGTACTGATGATACATGGGCAACACATGTCTTCTACAGTACTGATGATACATGGGCAACACATGTCTTCTACAGTACTGATGATACTTGAGCAACACATGTCTTCTACAGTACTGATGATACATGGGCAACACATGTCTTCTACAGTACTGATGATACATGGGCAACACATGTCTTCTACAGTACTGATGATACTTGAGCAACACATGTCTTCTACAGTACTGATGATACTTGAGCAACACATGTCTTCTACAGTACTGATGATACATGGGCAACACATGTCTTCTACAGTACTGATGATACATGGGCAACACATGTCTTCTACAGTACTGATGATACATGGGCAACACATATCTTCTACAGTACTGATGATACTTGAGCAACACATGCATGATCTCTTTAGAACTGCCTAGGCTTTATGCTATGGCAGTTGTCCTAAAATCCAACGCTGTATTTCTGGAAGACTTCTTAACGTGACCAGCTCCTGCTAGTCACACTCATAATCTTTAACATTAGCTGAGACACCCCCCCCCCCCCCCCCCCATGCTGCCTGTTCTATAGCAAAGTATGTTGTGTCATTTGATACTGACAAATGCAAGATGAGTTGCAAGAGTCGGCCTATCTGAAGATTTCTACTACAGTGAGCAGTGTCACAGAGAAGGCACTAGAGAGTGAAATATGTATGGAATTTTTTTGGGTTTTAAATCCTTTCGTCTCGAAAAGCTAAAATCTGTAGTGGCCTGTTCTTGAAAAGTGCAGTTTAATATCATTGGTTCTGTCTGTGCCTGCACAGCATTTAGGAGATCTAGATATGAATATATTTATTAGAAAAGTAGCAGTGGGGTGGGGTGTCCTTTGTCTTTGCCCTTTATTGAATTGCTTATTAAGGAGGATGTGGGTCTATCCTTTTTTTCCTTCATTCAATAGACCTTTGGAAGCCACAGGGTTTTAAGTGTGAACCATACAGCTTTTTAAAGCCATTATGATGTTAAATGTTCCTCTAGCCTCAATGATAAAGGTTACAGGGTCACAGCATCAGTCACCCTGTGCATAGTTTTTTTTTAAAATACCCAGAGGAATGTATTTTATTTAATGCTTTATCTCTTTATCTTTACTGGTCTCTTCCTTTATATATCTTTATTTAGTTCGTTTAGACATTTTAAAAAATAAATATGTTTTTTTAAACTTAGAAATTTTTTTAATGTTTCTAAGGATTTTCCCCCCAGAAATTTCCACAGTTCATTACCTGTTTGTAAGCAGTCACCGGGCCAAGGGTTAAACGGCTAAGAATTGAAAAAAGTCATAACTGATCTGTTTTAAGTAGAAAAAGAAGGGAAAACGCTAAATATGAAGAAAGAAAAAAAGAAAAGAAATTGTAGAAGAAGAAGTAAAGAAACAGAAGGAGGAACAGAAGCAGCAGCAGTATCAACAGAAAAAGAAAAGTTTAAGTAGAGGAGGAAGAGGTCTTTTTATTCCAGATAATATAATGTAATGCTCAACTTCATTAGATCTGAGGCAATTGTCGATAGGGCCCGTATTGTTCAGTCTGGGTTGACTTTGCTGTTGAAATAGTTTCTAACTGCAAATGCTATTTCAGTGACCAAGTCTGGTGAACTAAATTCTGGAAGGTTTCATGGCAAGAGAAGAGATGTCAAAGAAGTTAACTGATCCAACCTTATACTAGATGACGCGATCTAGTATGTCTGAAAGGTTGAACATTTCACAATATGTCAGTAATTGTGACTGAGTTAATTGCACTGTATATTTTTTGATTGTTTTTAAAATAACACTAGATTTTCATTTTCTTACGCAAATTTCAGCAAAGTTCAGTCACTCTGTTGTACACTTTTGCCTTGTGGTAGTTATGGGACTTTCCTGAGCAATAAGGGGTTCCGCCCATTTTCCATAAAGTGCCTTAAAACCTTTGGGATAGAAGTGTACATGTTGGCTTGAAACCTGAAAGTTGACATGTTGCTTAGTTCCATTAAAAGAGAGTTTGTTGCTAGAGTGTAGATGTGTGGGACACTGTGAGACAGTCTTATACCTGGATTAATTTGTTTGATTCAATTGGGGGGGGGGGGGGGGGGTGGGAGGGAATAAAATTACTCTGTGGTAAAGTTGTCAAACCACTTGCATTTTTTTGTAAAGGTGATAGATTTGTTTTTGAACTGTGTGGTTCAGTAATAACCATTATGAGTGGTCCAGTTGTAAGTTCTTTGGAGGTTGAAAAGGGTATTTGGGATTTGCCCTGTTGGCTTGCCATCTAGATTGAGATTTTTTTGTAATCTCAGGCATGCTTCGTGCAGAGGGGCAAGCATCGCTTCAGAGGTCCTGGGTAGTCAGCATCCTTTGGATTTTTTCTCAATGTCATGCCTGAGTTTTTAGAAACGAGCAGGTAGATACTCTGGCCAGTTTTGCACCACTTGGTGGTGAATTGATGTATGGTAAGCTAGATGTTGTGAGGACCCTTTGGGAGCGAGTGAACAGTACAGAGGCACAAATAAATCATTATGGTCTGAGGAAAATGGCACTGCGACAAGTTACCAGGGGATCTAGCCAACGTCAGCACTCAAGGGAAAGGCAGGTCAGATATACAATCAGACAGTTACTGATACCATCAGAATTGGAACTCGTCACTTGCTGCTGAAGATGGAGACGGAGTGCTTATGGGAGTATCCTGAGTGCTGTGATGTCGATTCTTAATTAAAGAGGGTGGTCAGATCTTCAGATAATGAGTGCAGGAGATAAAGAAACCTTAAGGTAGCAGCTTTGAGTGAAACAAATGGACAGTATTGTTAAGAAAAATTGATCCTTACCTGCACAAGACTGCAGACTGTACCAGGCTGGTGTGATCCTTACCTGCACAAGACTGCAGACTGTACCAGGCTGGTGTGATCCTTACCTGCACAAGACTGCAGACTGTACCAGGCTGGTGTGATCCTTTCCTGCACAACACTGCAGACTTTACCAGGCTGGTGTGATCCTTACCTGCACAAGACTGCAGACTGTACCAGGCTGGTGTGATCCTTACCTGCGCAACATTGCAGACTGTACCAGGCTGGTGTGATCCTTACCTGCGCAACACTGCAGACTGTACCAGGCTGGTGTGATCCTTACCTGCACAACATTGCAGACTGTACCAGGCTGGTGTAATCTTT